TATATATATATTACCATCACCTTTCTGGTTTAAAATAATTTTACAATGACAAATGCTGCCATTGGAGTCATTTATTGAAAATAGCTTTATGCACAATCTCACACAATGTTGCAGCCAAATGAAAACACACAAAGAAGCACAGCGAAAACCTCGTTACCTTTTTGTGGCAGATGGTATAAAATCCAAGATAACGCAGTTATAAAACAACACCACAACATTATTATGTGATTTCATATAATTAGTAATTACGGGCAAAAAAAGTTTTTTTTTCGTTTTTTGCTTTTCTTACATAACAGAATGTGGGCTGCACCCCTGACAAAAGTACTGCTGGTAACTGCTGTGTAAGCCTTGGTGCAGAGCTGTGAAGACACAACGAAGGAAAAGGTGGGAGGAAATAATGAGAGCTTTTTTTTTCTTGGTTTACTGGGGAATTTGAAAATAACACCACGAATCAAGACTAAAAAGCAAAAGGAGGAAAAAGGACGTGACGAAGCCATGACACAGTAAACCATGATGCAATTAATGACAAAAGCAATTGCTTCTGTTATAAAAAGACAGAAAAAAAAAACAGTAAAAATTTCCAGTGTGCGTTCGGACTGTGGGTGAGTCGTGGTCATCGAAACCAGACGCACACGTGCGAGCGTCAAACAGGAGGGGGGGAAACTACTCCGGTCCAGGCAAGACAATCTACAGTGATGCAAGTTTACGTGTGTGAACGAATGAGGTGTTTCCCTTAGTGGGGGCTATGATCTGACCCTCGTGGAGGGGAGGAGCTGTGGAAAAAAATCAGAGCAAATTCTGAACTGGACGTCCATTTTGAAATTGTGCAGGGAAAACTTGCATGTCCACCATAAACTAAAAGGAACACTGAGTGGCAAAATAAATGGATTACAATTACAATAAATGGAAGAAAAAAAGATAAATTATTATTTTTAATCTTTATGTAAACAGGCTGATCTAGTTCAAGTAAAAAAATAGAGAACACAATAGTGGGTAAGGGCTTCAAGACTGATTATATATAAATGTAAGGTGAAACATAATTCTGAATGTGATATAGACAGAATTAGTTTTGCAGAGTCCATAATAGCCAAAGGCCTCAATGGGAACACTTCTATGGGGAAACATGTGACTCTGATGGTGATRGCCAAGATGCTTTAATTCCAGGTTAGTCTCACTCTGAATAATGGACCAGGGTGATTTCAGACTCCCCTGGCCCCTCGCGAGCYCCCGCGAGCCCCTGTGATGAAGTTAGCCGGGGGCAGGAGTGCTACAGTGCAGATGAATGAGCAAGGCTCGTCTCCAGTTGCTGCTGAATGTAATTTCGGATCGGATTGCAGCGGAAGCACAACTGACAGCAGAGGAATCTATCGAATTCAGCTCAGACATCACAATAATATTGAGTCTTGTTTATAAACACACATTCAGACGTTCAGGATGATTCGCCGGAGAAGTTCCCTGCCCTGAGAGCAAACCGTGAGTGAAACAGGAGTGAAATCAGCTTTATTTGATGAGTGGTGCCACAATTTAACTCACATTTTAAAGGAAGTCAGGTATTAGAGTAGGCACTATCTTACCAGCAGTGGACGGCAGTCAGAGTGAGCTCAGTTTGGAGAACCAGGGTGAAAATATCATCTTATTAACAGACACATGACTGCTTTACAGTAGGATACATCCAGYAGTAGCAGTTAGAGGTGTTAAAATAGTGAAAACCATCCCGTGCAAAAGCCAGAATCCTACCTGCTGCAGGTAAGATACTGGCTGCTCATGTCTCTTCTACTAAACCCCACTCTAAAAACATGAACACTTAAAACCTAGTTAAAAATTTTCCTTTATAATCACACCACAAGCAAGGTTAAATTTAAATTTACCTGATAAACATTACAAATCRCTGTCTTCTTATCGTTTATTTTGCCCTCGTGTCTTTTTTCCTTGCGGTTAACCAAACCTTGGCTCGCCTCACACAGAGACGCCATCGCTATTATAACGCCATCATTCTTGCCCGCCAAGCCATAGAGAATGATGTCACTTCCACTGTTGGTCATGGTGGTTTGGGTTTGGCCTCTAGTGCATGTGACAATTTGTGCACTACTTGGAAGGCCCGAAGCTTCCAGCCTGGCAATCGGCCATGATATCCACCACCTCACCCGGTTTCATTAATGCAGCTTCTTTTTTTAAAAAAAATCTTTTTAGCATGCCCTCATTTTTGTTTGATCACTTTTAGTGCAGCCATGTTAAACATCCACCATCCTCACTGCTTTCCTCGTCACGCTGTGCATCGTCTCCTTYGCCGTCATTTGGCCCGGAGCTTTGTAGTCGTGTTGTGAAGCAGAAAGGAGCTGGGCAGCGGCGGCTCATGCATGACTTCTGGAGAGGATATACAGCGCAGAGAACAAGAGAATGTGGAAACGTATGTGTGGCGGTGTGCCCACTGGGCCCAGCCCACTCTGCTTCAAGTTTAGGGGCAGCCTTTCTTCTGATGCCAGGTGGGAGGGGGGTGAGAGTGGGTGCTGTGGAGGATGCAGGCTTTGGATCAAACAGCAGAACTCTCAGTGGAGGGTGGGAGGAATGAAGGAGTGGAGCAGAACTGAATGAATGTTTCAAATTTATTGTCCCGTGGTGCTGAAAGGCAAAGGGGGATGACAATGTTTTTTCCCCCATGCTGTCTGTTAGCAAAATATTTCATGAACTACAGCACGCATTTTATTGAAACTTGCAGAAAGTAATCATTGATTGGACATTTACAAGTGATTAACTTTTTGAGTCAACCTGATTTAAAAAGGCTGCCACAGCAAATTCTCTATAAGAAACACAAAAATGACTCTAACACAGTCAGTTTTACAGATAGTTTGGTGTGGTAGTATCTGAGACTGATCCTCAACATATATTCTGAGTGCTAACAAATTATGCATGATCTTTGTTTAATATATTTATTTCATATTTGCCACTATTTGTCATTGATTTTACCCTGAGGTGACAAGTAATGAAATACAATGTTTACTTGTACTTAAGTAGAACTTTAGTTTTTTTATACTTTACTAGAGTAATTATTGTTCTGCTAAATTTTTTACTTCTGCTTCTTACATTTTCACACAATTATCTGTTTATTTCTACTCATTATATAAAAAAGCAAAAAAGTATTTCAATTTAATTTCACTTCAGCTTATTTTCTTTTCAGCTTGTCATCATTCAGAAAACAACAAGAAAAACTATTCAGATATATGGTGCCTCCTGGACAGAGTGAATGCAATTGTAACCCTGTGACGGACTTGTGACCTGTCCAGGGTGTACCCCGCCTCTCCCACTGTGGCTGCTGGATATGGGCACCAGTGACCCTGAAAGGAAGAAGCGGGTAAAAGATACTGGATGCATTTAAATTTGTACTTTTACTTGAGTAAAAAGCTTAAGTTAATACTTCTACTTCAAAAAAATGTTTAAACCCTTGTGTCTATACTTCTGTGTATGCATGAATGTGAATAATTTTGAAATCTCGGACTTTAGCCAACAGAAAAGTAGTCACAACGTAGTCAGTTTTATAGCTATTGAGCTAAAACCTAAATTGGTGGTAGCTGAGAGTCATTTACAACAGTTACTCTGAGCAGAACAGCTTGTGATGTTGCAAAAAAGTTGCACACGATAT